TCATGAACCCTTGATAATTTATAAATTATTATTATTATTTTATCATACACTGCCCGACATCTCCCTTCACCAACTTTACTGTTGTCCATCCCCCAGGGAGGAGGTTATATGTAGATCTTGTAATCGGTTCCCCCTTTCTACCCCACCCTCCTGGTATCACCACTCTCACCACTGGTCCTGAGTGATTCATCTGTCCTGGATTCCCTGTGTTCCCAGTTCCTTTCTGTACCAGTGTATATCCTCTGGTCTAGCCAGATTTGTAAGGTAGAATTGGGATCATGATAATGGTGGTGGGAGGAAGCATTTAAGAACTAGAGGAAAGTTGTGTGTTTCATCGATGCGACACTGCACCCTGACTGGCTTGTCTTCTCCCCGCTACCCCTCTGCAAGGGATGTCCAGTTGCCTACAGATGAGTGTTGGGTCCCTACCCTGCACTCCCCCTCATTCCTGATGATATGATTGGGCTCTGCTTTTAAGGATATTCAAAAAGGGTGAGACAACCAGTCATTCCGTGGGAGAAAGTCAGGGCAAATGCAGTCTTGCAAACCTGGTCTACAGGGTCGCTGCGAATCAGCATTGACTCCATGGCATTGAGTTCAGTTTGTGATGTCTTCTCTGGCCCATAGGAACAGGTATCATTCCCAGCCAAGTCTGGATCTTTATTTTTTTGTGATCTTGTTTTGTGTTTTTGTGTGATTTTGTGTTTTGTATTTTTCCTTGGGGTAGACTCCTCACCTGCATGAAGAAATCTTGACTGCTCATTATTCAGTGGGGCACTGATTCAAGACTTCTGTTTTCTCTGCTTCAGTGCTCTGTGCTGCAGACTTTAGCTTTCTTTGTCTTCTTGAACCCTTTCGTTTCCTCAACTCAAGGGTTCCATTTGGTTCTGAGTTCTTCCCCCGCCCCATTAGGATTTCTTTCAAGGTATAAAGCTCGGGCAATTATGGAATCACTTTTATTTCCTGTTCTGGGATTACTTTTGTCATCTGGTGTCTACTTCCTTGAAAATTGTTCATTGTATATTTTGTCTAGTTTTTGTTTCTGTTCTAGGTTGGAAGTATAAGTGGCTCATTAGGTGATATACTGGTATTTATATCAATGCTTTTGCCTTTTCTCTAAAGTCAGAAACTTTTGCTAAAATCAGATTATGTTCTGAAGTCTAGTATTGGGAAGGAATGAAAGCAAGATGGTGGTGTGATGTATGTGTTCATATAAGCCTTTGCTGGTTTGAGGAGATAGAATGTTGAATTTGTGGCTTCCTATTTCCAGTCCTTCTGGCTTCATAGAAACCACCAATATAGAAATTATAAGTAAGAATATTAAAAAGTAAGCAAATGAGAAATATGGAGACAGTGGAAATAGAACTATTGGATCAAGGAAATTATAGGAATTAAAGGTGACATTTAAATTTAGCATTCATTTTTATATAAACGTAGAATTAAAATGAACAACATAGAAAAACTTGTATATAACTGTTTAGTGTCATACGCACTTTTTGATCTAGGTTCTATAATTAATTTTAATGACCATATAGAACTGGGACACAATATTTGTGATTAAAAGGTTTATCAAGGAAGTGAACTGGTTACAATGCAGGTGAGTAATGCTCAGTACACAGTTCTTTAGTCAGGACAAGTTACAAAGTTGAGGGCTGCTGCTAATGCCCAAAGAGCATGCTGCTCTGAAGTGAGCCTTAACCAGAAGGCAAAAAGCTCAAGCTCCGAGTCAGCAAACCCAGCTCCCTGAAATAGTGCCCAGAGGCACCCTTACCCGACTCACCAAACCAGCCTCATGCCCCAAAGCAAACTTTACTTGTTCTGTGGGCTGAAAGTCCACTACTACTCTGTGTCGTGCTCTGCTGCTTCTCTGATGTCACTTCTATCTTCTGGATCAAGGAGGTTCACTGCACAGGAATCTCAGGGTCCAGAGGATGTAGTCCACCCCTCCATCTTGCAAGTAATATGGTCCCCCATTATGCTTCTGAGAGGATTCATATACCCAACAGGATGGCAGTCACAGTGAATCCTGTTAACAATTGGGAAAGGGAGTTGGTGGGAGTTACAGAGGCTGTGGCTGGAAGAGCTACATTAAGTACTTCATTGTGTGCTAAAATTCTTTTATATGTTGGTGTGCATCTTTTAATCACCATGTATACTTGTTTATAAGCTGAGTTTTTCAGCAGTAGTTTTTGTGGTAAAATTAGGTGACTCAGCTGATATTCGGAACAGCTTATACTCAATTATGTATGGTACTATTTAGCTCATTATTTTCATGTTATTTCCTGTGCCTTGAAAATACATGATTGTTTGTACCCCCTCTTTCTTCTGCAGCTTTTCACAGATGGAATCACAAATAAACTTATTGGCTGCTATGTGGGTAACACAATGGAGGATGTAGTCCTGGTGAGAATTTACGGCAATAAGACTGAGTTGTTGGTTGATCGAGATGAGGAAGTGAAGAGTTTTCGAGTGCTGCAGGCACATGGCTGTGCACCACAACTCTACTGTACCTTCAATAATGGACTGTGCTATGAATTTATACAGGGAGAGGCCCTGGATCCAAAGCATGTCTGCAATCCAGCCATTTTCAGGTACATTTCTTTCTTTAATTACTTCATTTTGAAAATGTTAATTATGCTAATAAAATATTTTTCATATGCTTTAAGTGCTGATAGTTGATATTTGCTTTTGCTCATGCACTGAGATTGCTAAGTGAAATTTGTGCTATACTAAAATGGCTGCATTAATTTTTAAAAATATGTACTCCAATTGCTTGAGGAATTTTAATGATTTAGAGCAGCGGTTCTCAACTTGTAGGTCGCGACCCCTTTGGGGGTCGAACGACCCTTTCACAGGGGTCTCCCGATTCATAACAGTAGCAAAATAACAGTTATGAAGTTGCAACAAAAATAATAATATGAATGTCGGGGGTTTTAATGGAGAGAAAATGTTTTGAGAAACGATGTACAAATGCGCTTTACACAATTGATGTGTGTATGGATTGGGATAACAGTTGTATGAGCCCCTAATAAAAT